CATTAATCCAAGGCAGAGCAACACAACCAGGGAGGCTAAAAATACCCAGGACACCTGATTGTTCCACCTGATTGTAGGGAATTGAGAGGAGAACAGGGATGGGCCCTGCATGCTGAGTGCTCGGGGCTGCTGCCATCACAGCCCCTGCCTGCTGTAAAACCTCTGAAGGGGAGAGCAGGGCTGGAGCTTGGTGTTACTGCAGCAGGATAGCTCAGAGGCAGCACCTGTGGGACTCCTTCAGCAGCACAAGGGATGAGCTGATTGTGTTTGGTCCAGCAGATCCCTGGGTATCTCATGGCATGGAAATCCAACTCCAGCAACCACCACACTGCCCCAGACTCCTGGCACCAACATCATCACTGTCCAGGGATGTCAGCAGGAAAAAAGTGGGAAAACCAGCACAGATTATTTTCCATGAGCTACTTTCCAAACCTTCAGTTGCATAATTTCAGGTCTGTCAGCAGAGGCTGTAATTATAATCCCAGAATCCCAGACTGGTTTGGGTTGAGAGAGACCTTAAAGGTCACCCAGCCCCTCCCTGGCAGAGACACCTTCCCTAGCCCAGTTTACACAGGGATGTGCAAGTCCTCACAAGGGCCCTGACTCCAGCTCAGGAGAGCAAAACTCATTCAAAATCCCTTGGGAGGGTCCCAAGGGTTAAAGTCCACAGGAGCCCCTGTCGTCCAGCTCTGCCTTTGTTCCTCTCAGCAGCCTCATATTCCCTGTTTATTTCTCCTCTCTGGGAACATACTTCACAATTTATTTGTGACAGTCAAAGTTCTAAAATATAGGCAGGAGCTGTTCTTCCTGAGGCTCTTTTTGAGAGAGCTCTTTCCTGACTATCCCTCAAGTGAGGAAAACAAACTCCAAAGGCTGAATTCCTGCTGGTGTTCCAGCTGGCCTTGGCACCCCCTGCACATTCCTTGGGCTCTCTACTTCCCAAATTATAGGAGCCAGTGTTTGGGCAGGTGCTGGGGGTGGAATTGTATCTAAACTCATCATCTCAGGGTATTTTTGGCAGCATTCTCTTGATGACACTTGTAGAAAAGGCTCTGCAACAGCCCCACTGCCACTCAGTGTGGGTGTCTGGTAATGCCCCCTCCCACCTTCTCGCAGTAAAAATAGCACAAGAAATTGTTCTTTTCCCAAACATCTCCCCCCCAAAATGTCATTTTCATCTGCATCACACAAGATTTCGCTCTTTTGTTGATAGGGATTTATTGTGCTAGATTTTATCTGCCTGTTAAACACTTCTAAGTGGGGAGTGAGTAATAAAAATGAGATTACAGGAATTGCTTGGTGAGGAACAGACCAGAGCTACAATTTAGCTCACTTATTCCTGTAAGCTGAGGAACTTCAAACTGATCTGCAAATTGCAAAATAAATTTAGAAAATCACTTTTCTAAATTGTCACAGCACAAATAATTTTGTGCATGTCCAGCCTGTCCAGCATGAGGGCGAATGGCAGAATCAATGTAAGGAACTCAGAGCAAGACCAAGAGAGTTACAGATTCCTGTAGTACAGGGGAAACTCTGGAATAAATGTGACTTCAAATGACACCAAAAAATGGGCATCCTGAAGATGCTGTGGGCTGTACTCAGCAGTTCAGTCAAGGATGGGACATTGCCTTGGTGGCCTTGTACAGGACACACCCTGCACTGTGCCAGTTCTGTCATCCTTCCCTTCCCTTCCCTTCCCTTCCCTTTTCCCTTCCCTTCCCTTCAGCTGGTGGAGAGATTGAATAGCCCCTTTTAAGTCCAGTTCTTCTCTGATCTGGGTGGGTTTTTATGCATTCAGCTTCTTCAGATGTACTCAAAGTGCATTTCTAAGCTTCACACCATGGCCTCGTTCTCTGTTTATTTTCTTCTGACATCTTCCTTTTCCTCACCTCCTCAGGCTCCGTAAATGCAGATTTCAGACAGAGGATGGGCACAACCCATCTGTGACTTGGGAAAAACTCCCTGGAAGAAGTCAGCTCTCTTTATTCCCTGAGATTCCTGCTCAAACCGATCCCTGTGGCACAGGTTTGGGGAGAAGCTGTGAGGGTGGCAGCGCCTGGCTGAGCAATGCAGCTGTTCCCTCAGTTCCTCTCATCTCTACATCCTTATTTCTTCCCTCATTTTTTATTTTTATCTTGTTTTTGCACTTTCCTTTGGGAAGAGGAGGAAGCTGCATTGCTATTCCACAGGTACATTTTGTGCAGTGCTGCAAAGTCCCCTAAGTGATGCCCACCCCGCCTATTATTAACTTTAAAAACCACCCTCATCCTTCTGCAAACCCCAGGAGAAGCTACCGGGGGGAAAACTACTTTGGATCACGTGGAGCACAAACACAAAGCCTTAATTAACGAGCGCTGCCCCCACTAATTGCAGAGGAGGAGCCTGTGCTGCTCCGCACCGGGAATGACGGGGAATTACAGCCCCTGTGTCTCTTCTTCCCTTGATCTGAAGCTGTGTGGGTTTGTACGAGCGGTAGAAATTAGAGAATACGGAATAACACCCATGGAAGGTGTCCCAGCCCATGGCAGGGACTGGAACTGGATGAGCTTTAATGTCCCTTCCAACCCAAACCAGTGCGGGATTCTGATTACAGTGTGATTAAAAGCTGTCAATTCTCATGCTCGATACGAGATCACCAATAATTAAAGCCAGTAAATTTTCAGGCTCGCTACAAGATCACTAACATTTAAAACCGGTACATTCTGAGTCTCCTGAAGGGAATTTTTTGGCAATTCAAGGTTTGGCCCTCGGGGCTGCGAGACACCAACACTCATTGCGGGAGTGAGCAGCAATTCCAGCAGCTCCTCGGGCTGGGCACCCACCAGACACAGCACCGTGCCTGGAATGCAAAACACACGGCAAACACGACGGACAGGTGCTACTAGCTGTGGGAAGTGCGACAAGTGTTCAAGTGACAAATGCGCCTCCAACGCCTTTCTCGAGGGGAAGATGCTGTCAGCCTGCTGCCCATCCAGACGGCACAGCTGATGGTCGCACGCTTTGAGGGGGAAAAATGGTGTTGTTTCCCGAAATATCCCCTGAGAGCTTCGCGAGCGCTGGCGCTGGGAGGGGAAAAGACATGGGGAGAGAGTGGGGCTGTAGCAGGATGGAGAGGAGGATGAGGGGGCTCCGGGCATAATCCCACCGGCTCTGAGCACAGCCCGGGGGCTCCGGGGCATCCTGAGGGCTCGGGGCACATCCCGGGGGCTCCGGGCACATCCCACCGGCTCTGAGCACAGCCCGGGGGCTCCGGGACATCCTGAGGGCTCGGGGCACATCCCCGGAGTAACGGGCACATCCCGGGGGCTCCGGGCACATCCCACCGGCTCTGAGCACAGCCCGGGGGCTCCGGGCCCATGCTGAGGGCTGGGGGCAGCAGGTCGGGGTGCACCCTGTGCTCTCGGGGCACACTCCCCGCTCCCCGGGCACACCCCGGCGGCGCGGGCCGGGCGCTGCCCTCAGCGCTGCCCTCAGCCGAGATGGCGGCGCTGGCGCGCGGCTCTCGCGAGGCGGGCCGGAGCACATCAGCACCCCCAAGGTAACCCCGCCGCCCCCGCTGCCCCCGCTGCCCGCCGCGGAACGGCCCTCGCGGCTGCGGGTGGCGGGGTCGGGTCACAGCCGCGGTCCCCGGGTGTGGGGGGCTCCGGCGCTCGGTGGGGAGGGGGTGCAGTGCTGGGCAGAGCCCCAGGTGGTTTGGGGGCGATTCTGGAATCTTTCCTTTCTGTTCAAAGCGCGGAGATTCTCTCAGTCCCAATGAGGGAACCAAAGGGTGCTTTTTTAATTTTTTTGTATTTTTTTTGCCTATTGAATCAAGTCATACATGAGCTCCGGGAGGGAATGCTGTGCTAGAAGGAACTGCATTTGTTCAGGCAGCAGTTGATAATTTAATTTTATCCTTCACTGTAAGGTTATTGTTATTCGTTTTATTCTGTAGGACTTTAGTCTGGGGATGCTCGTCGCCCCCGCCCTGAGGTGCTGCATGTCTGTAGTGCCCTGAAAAGGGCAATTTTGTATTTGATTGTTATATCTGCTGAGAAACACCACCTGCTAAAGGACACCGAGCCCAGGCCTCAGCTCTCCAATTTATTTGCTGAGATTTTCCATTTGTACTTGAGACATAAGGAAGCTCGCCCATTCAATACCCAGAACTAATGTATCATTTACTGTTAAAACATCTGTTTTCATTGTCCATCCAATTTTTTTTCCTGTTATTTCTGCTTAATGGTGAAAGAAAAATTTTATCTGTGTTCATTAGGCAGCAAATAGGCCAGGAGAAAATCAATTCAGCGCTGTAACATATTTTATTATGTCTGTGCCGAGTTCTTTAAAGCTCTTTTTTTATTAATTAGCTTGGTGTGGTTTATGAAATACACTTGGAGGCCAGGAAGTGAGTTACAAGAAGTAGCTACTGACAGGGAATGAGCAGTGGGAAGTCAGACTGGAGAGGGCTGTTCCTTTCAGAGCAACATGTTGATCACCCTGAGCACAGACAAATCTTTCCTTTGCAGTTCTTTGTCTTGTTATTTCTGCAGCCTCACACAGTAACAAACCAGGATCATCTTGGCTACAAATCCACTAATCCTGTTAGGGTTTGCTGGTGCCTAACCACGGCTGTTTGCTTAACCTTTGTGGCTTTAATTCATGGAGAAATAATTGGAGTTTATGGTGTAAGGCTGGCTTGGTGTTGCAGGGGGGACTTAAGATCTTGTGTTTTTCTGTCTTGCTTCATGAGCTGTGTATTAGAAGTTGAAAGAATGGAGCTTAACAGGTGTTTAGGCAGTGCTTCCCTCAGAGCTGGACTTGGAGGAATTTCCCCATGGGAAGGGTGGTCAGGCCTTGGAAAGGGCTGCCAGAGAGGCTTGGAGTCCCCATCCCTGGGGTGTCCGAGGAGCAGCTGGATGTGTGCTGGCTGATAGGGTGGGAATTCGGCACAGATGATCCCAGAGGGCTTTTCCAGTCCTGGGATCCTGTGGTGTTCTCATGCTGTGTTCCTGCTGCAGGTGGAAAATGTGAAGCTGCTGGATCGCTACGCCGGCAGGAAGGCAGCGAGCGGGACCCTGTACCTGACAGCCACACACCTCATCTACGTGGATGCCTCTGCTGAAGTCAGGAAGGAAACATGGGTATGCTGGGCTGCAAACACACCTGGCAAAGCTGCTTCGGGTCACAGGATGGATTGGTTGGGGAGAGACTTGAGGATCGTCCCGTTCCACCCCTGCAGGGACACCTTCCCCTGTCCCAGGCTGCTCCCAGCCCCAGTGTCCAGCCTGGCCTTGGGCACTGCCAGGGATCCAGGGGCAGCCACAGCTGCTCTGGGCACCCCGTGCCAGGGCCTGCCCACCCTGCCAGGGAACAATTCCTTCCCAATATCCCATCCATCCCTGCCCTCCATCCCCGCCCTTCCCAGTGGGAAGCCATTCCCTCTTGTCCTGGAACTTAATGCTCTCATTTCCAGAATGAGCAGGTTTGGCAATTCCAGAACCGTAGTGGTCTTTTAGAACATTTTGATACCCACTGCTTCCCAGAAACAGCTGGTTTGGAAGGAAATGAACACAATGGTGATGTGACTTGATAGAGTTCACTTGTGGAATTAGTGTCAGTTCAAGGAATGTGAAAAACTTCTGTAATTTCCTGTTTAAAACTCAATATACAAGACCACTAAACGTGAATTTGCAGCTTTTAGAAGTGCAGATTTAGCCTGAAATGAGGCTGTTTTGTTAATTCTGAGCTGAAATGGGAATGACAGAATGTATTTCATATGGAGGTGAAAGGAAAGCAAAGTGCATCAAGTAAACTGAGCTGCACATCTGTCTCTGAAAGCAATTTATGTAAATCTGTAGTTTTTCAGTCCTGCTTTAGTTCCCTGAGTTTTGGGTGCAGTTTATGTTTGATGTCACAAATAAACTCATTTCCTGCTGCTCCTTAGCTGCAGGAAGCATAAACAGCTGATTGTATTACAGGGGTTTCCTATCTGCTTGCACTGCTCACAGCTTTATCAGTGACAAATGATGTTTACTCCCTTTTCTGCAGATCCTGCACCACCACATCTCCAGCGTGGAGAAGCTGCCCCTGACCACGGCTGGGTACCCCCTGCTCATCCACTGCAAGAACTTCCACGTGGCTCACTTTGTGATTGGCCAGGAGAGGGACTGCCATGATGTGTTCACCTCCCTGCTCAAGCTCTCCCAGCCAGGTGCTGGGCTTGGGAATCTGTCCTGGGAATCTCTGGAATGCTCCAAACTGAGCCCTGGGAAAGCTCTGCTGCCCCACACTTGGTTTTGGGAGGGAGTGGGATCAAAATCAGCTTCCAGCAGCAGGGACAATGGCAGGTCTCGGGGAGCTGAGCTCTGTGGAGCAGGACATTTGCTTCCAAACTAAACACAGTCTTGGGAGCCAGGAAAGATGGAGAGAGATTGTTTACAGGGGCCTGGAGTGACAGGACAAGAGGGGATGGATTCACACAGAGAGCAGGGTTAGGTGGGGTATTGGGAAGGAATCCTTCCCTGTGGGGGTGGGCAGGCCCTGGCACAGGGTACCCAGGGAAGCTGTGGCTGCCCCTGGATCGCTGGAAGTTGCAAGGCCAGGTTGGACATTGGGGCTGGGAGCAGCCTGGGACAGGGGAAGGTGTCCCTGCAGGGGTGGCACTGGATGAGCTGTTGCAACCCAAACCTCTCTGTGATTTTGTCACTCTCTGGCAGTGGGAGTGACGTGGTCTCCCATGAGGAACTTCTGGAGAGCTGTGCAAAGTTCATATCCCCAACCTGGCCACTGTCAGTCCCTTGTGTGACTTAGCTGTTGGCTGTGTGCAGTTCTGCCCTTTCCAGCTGATCCAGGCATTCACAGAATTCCCAAATCCCACAATTTGGCATCTTGGCTGTGTTTCCAGCAGTGTGGTTAGGCTGCTCTGCAGTGTTTGCTCAGTGAAGCCTGTGCTTCACCCTGCCCTGACTTGGAGTCACTCTTGCAGTGTGAGCCAGACACCTTCAAAAGCCTGTGTTCTCTTCTAGCTCCAGCTTTTTATTCCAGCATGGCTGAATCTTCATGCTTTTCCTGCAGGACAGCATTCCACTGAGCTCCTACCTGGCTTCTGCCTCTGGCAGCCCCTGCTTTTGGGATGCTGGAACCCATTTTGGAGTTGTGTTATTACAGGCATGTCATTTGTAGTTGCAATTTGTGATGGTGTCACCAGGTTGAGGGAGGGGAATTGATGGCACCAGGCAGCTTCTTGCTGGCCTTCACACAGGGCTGGGCTGGAAATCCTGTAGGGGAAATGGGCTTTGCCCAGTTTAGATGTTTTTTAATTTGATATTTAGGCCTGTGTCTATTCCCAGCACCTCCTTGTGCTCTTTGGAGTTTTCTTAGTTCTGAAGTTCTGCCTCTGATGCTGTAGCTGGCAGGTTTGTGGTGTTAACATTTAAAAGCTATCACTGCTCTTTGAGGTTTGAAAATTAGAGGTCTGGGTAGTGCCTGAAGTGTGGGAGGTATCACTGCAGGGGCTCACACCAGTTTCCTTTGGTCTCTACTTAACTGTGTAAATGCTGTAGCTCTTTCTTTTCTTCTACTCCTTGATTGTAACAGCACATTTTTGTTGTTTTGATGTCTGAGTGTGCTCCCTTCATGGATTTTTGGCAGAGCACATCATTACTGATTATTTGCACACATGTGGTGGACAGCTCTGGGTTACCTGCTCGGTGCCCAGCTGCTTTATCAGCCTCTGACAGGTTTCCCTCTGTCTCTGGAGCTGCCTTGAGAATCAGCTGGATGAGTTATTGGCTGGATTTGCATTTTGTGAAGAGGGGGAAGGAGGTTGGGATGGTAGATGGGCACTTGTCAGAGGTGGCCTGCAGCCTTCATTGGGCTGACAGCAATATTCCAGACATCCCTCAGGTTTGCCAGTCTCAGAATTTGTTGCTGAGCAATGACCTTACAGGTGTGCAGGAGCTGTTGTATGAACTCTCCACAGAAAGCAGATCTTCTAGTCCATGTTTTCATGTATGGCTTAATGGTTATGATATAAATCCCATCTAACATGCTTGCTACAGTGAATTCAGGAGGAAATCATTAGTTTAGGAAAAATTACTTCTTCCAACTTCGGTTAAAACACTTTGTTAGAATTAATGTATCTCCCTGCATTTGGGAACTGAGTGTTGGAAATTCCTGAGGATTTCAGGATGAATTTCAGCACTTGGTACTATCCCAAACCAAAAATCTATAAAAGGTTGAGAAGTCTTAAATACTTTGAATACTCCTCTGTAGCACTCAATCATTGATTTCTAGAAGTTTTGGCCTCCCTGGATGTCTTTGCATCTCTAACTTGTTGATGTTTTTCTTTCTCCTTCCCAGTGAAACCCGAAGAACTTTATGCTTTCTCTTACAATCCTAAAATGTCCAAAGAGAGCCGGGAGATGGGGTGGAAACTGATTGATTTGAAGCTGGACTACCAGCGCATGGGAATCCCCAACGACTGGTGGGAAATAACGGATATTAACAAGGACTATGAGGTAACTCCTGCCCAGGAGAGCCATTCCATGCACTATCTGCTCGTTGTTATTAATGACAGCCCTGCTGCTACCTCTGGGGAGGAAGGAGCTCGCTTGCTCTGAGTCAAAGCTCATCATCTTGATGGGGAGTTGCAGATGATGATGCTCCAGGATAGTCACTGTCTTGTGTTTGATCCCCCTGACAAGAGAGCAGAGCCTTGTTTTTCTGCAGAAATGTCAACCCATCTGTTAGGCAAAGCCTCAAGTACCCTGAGCTTCTTTTGGTATTTCCAAAGCCTGTCCCACCTGGCTGGTGACAGATGTGGAGGAGAGAAGGAAATGGCAGCAGTTTGGATTGGTGGGAAATGAGGCAGAGTGGAGAGGGACTAGGGAAGGAAGGGAGGGAAAAACAGCAGTGGAAAACAGAGCCTTTTTTGCTTTCTCAGTTGGATCTTCTGCTACCTAAGGGCCCTCTGTCATTCCAGTCTGAGCTGCTTGCTGCTGTTATTTTCCCTGAAAGGCCAACTTGGATCTAAACAACATGAAACAAAAGCATTTGTCAGCAAGCTTGTTCAAAATCCTGCTCCACGTTATTTCCCTTTTTATTTCCTCTGGGGCTGTGTGCAGTCAGACCCGGCTATTGAAAAGCAAGGCAAGCAACTCCAAGGAAGACACAGACATACTCATAACTCTGAATCCCTTTCCCTGGTAACTTTCTTTACTTTAAGCTGTGGCTTGAAGAAATACAAGCCTGTGCTGTCAGAGGTGACTGCCAGTTTTACCTGCCTGTGCCTGTGGGGGCCTGAATTGAGCTCTGATATGAGAAGTAGCTGCTGTGGCCATCTCAAATCAGTAATCACTCAGAGACTTTGCTTGCTGCAGTGGAACTCTCAGGTGCTTTAGAGTTTCCTCACGGTTTCCAGCTTGTGTTTTAGAGTTGTCAAGCCTGATGTAAAGCCAGGCTTGGAGAGCAGCTTATCTTTGAAGTCCATGCTGCAAATACTCTGCTTATTTGAAGGGAAGGGATGAAGCTGCTCTCTGAGGATTCCACCTGAGTGCTGGAAGTGCCTTTCCAGTTGCATAATTTTTAGAGAGAACTTTTTAAACAGGGTTAATTTCTCTTTTGTGGAAAGGAATTCTTGGCTGTGAGGGTGGGCAGGCCCTGCAATAGAGTTCCCAGAGAAGCTGTGGCTGCCCCTGGATCCCTGGAAGTGTCCAAGGCCAGGTTGGACGAGGATTGGTGCACCCTGGGACAGTGGAAGGTGTCCCTGCCCGTGGCAGGGGTGGGATGGCTTTAATGTCCCTTCCAACCCAAACCTTTCTGTGAATCTGATTTAGAAACTTGCATCCCATTTCTGGATTTAAAAAACTTCTTTGAACCTGCATTGTGCAGTCCAGTTTTTAGGTACAACTGCAGAGTTGATTGTTTCCTGCATTGTTTTCCTTAATACCTCGTGATCTAATAAGCTAAAGATGAATTTTTCATTAATTTTGAAGTGCTCAGGAGCAATATCTGGGTTTTTGTCTCTGTTCTCCCTCAGGTTTGCAGCACATACCCTCCTGAGATCGTGGTGCCTCGAGCTGCCACCAGGGCCGTGGTGATGGGAAGTTCAAGGTTCAGGAGCCGAGGGCGGATTCCAGTGCTTTCCTACTTGTACAAGGAAAACAATGTTAGTGCTTCACTGCCTGCTGCTTGGGGGGAATGAGGCTTCTCCTTTTCGTCCACTTCCCTTCTAATGAAAGGAAAGAATAAGATAATTATTAGATTGGAGGCCTTTGAGAACTGTGCTTCTCTTAATGGCTTTCATTCTGAGTCACAGAATGAGCTGAAGGCAAACACTTGGAATGCATCCAGAGCTCTGCCAAAAGCACAGACTTTCCAAGCTTCCTGTTGGGAATTTTTTCTTAATCAGCTTTCAGCAATTCCTTCTGATGTGGGGTTTTTTAATCTCCTCTTTAGCTCTATTGAATAATGTTTTACCAAGTTATATGTTGACTCGGCTGGATTTTCATAGTATTGAAGAGGAGGAACCACCCTGAAATAAATCCCCACTAGTTCAGAATAAGTGAAGGTTTCATTTTTTTTTCCACTGAAGACCAGAATGTAAATTTATAACTATGCTGCCTCAGCAGTGTTTTAGATGCTGATCTTAGGAAAATTCAGTCACAGCCAAATTGTTGTTTTCCTGAGGAAGCATGCCTTGACCTGGGCACTGCCTGGAGTTGTGCTGGAAACTAATGAAATTTCCTTAAAATACACCCTGTGCTGCTCTGAATGTGCAGCAACAACTGATAAGGAAAACTCAGAATGGTTTGGAAATAGAAACCAAATGGAAAACATGAGAAATTGCCTCCCAGTACTTTCAGGAGGCTCATGGGAAGGAGGTAGAGGGGCTTTTATATGGGAACATAGTGACAGGGCAAGTAGGAATGGTTTTAAACTGCCAGAGGGCAGGGTCAGATGGGATATTGGGAATTAGGAATTGTTCCCTGGCAGGGTGGGCAGGCCCTGGCTCCCTGGCAGTGCCCAAGGCCAGGCTGGAGCACCTGGGGATAGTGGAGGGTGTCCCTGCCCATTGCAGGGGTGCAATGAGATATTTTTAAGGTCCTTTCCCCCCAGCCCTTCTGGGATTCAATGAACTACTGACATTTGGGGTGGTGACCACCAGGCAGAGCAGGTGGAGCCTCCTCACCCTCACTGCTCCAAGTTCCCCACAGTTGTCACTTTGTGAAATGGCCCAGTGTGTGTCCACCACAGCAGCAGCTCCTCAGAAGGAGCACAGGGGACAGTTAAACTGTGACTCTGAGTGGTGTGGGGCAGGAGGAGAGGCTGAAGCTGTGAGCCCAGGGGCTCTGGGGCAGGAGGAGAGCTGAAGCTGGGGGCTCTGGGGCAGGGGGAGAGCTGAAGCTGGGGCTCTGGGGCAGGAGGAGAGCTGAAGCTGGGGCTGTGGGCAGGAGGAGAGCTGAAGCTGGGGCTCTGGGCAGGAGGGCCGTGGCACAGGGCTGATCTCTGGCTGTGTGTGGGTGTGTTGCAGGCTGCCCTGTGCCGCTGCAGCCAGCCCCTGGCCGGGTTCAGCGCGCGCTGCCTGGAGGACGAGCAGATGCTCCAGGCCATCCGAGAGGCCAACCCCGGCTGCCCCTTCATGTATGTTGTAGACACGAGGCCAAAGGTACCTCCATGGGCTCTGGGCTGCTTTTACATCTCTTGTGTGAATGTGCAGTGCTGTCTCCAGTTCATTCTGTCACAGTTCTGGGTCGGTCCTGCAGAGGAATGTGGGATGGGGCTCCTGGTTCAGGGTGTACAAATGGCATGTGGAATTGTTCCTAAGGATTTTTGCCTGGTTTGAGGGTTTGTGTTCAGGATGACCTGATGGAACTGGCAGTTGTGAACCTGGCTGGGACAGTGAAGCATTTTCCTGCAGAGTCCTAAAGGATAAAGGAGAGAACTGGAAGTGGAGTTGGAGAGAAGCCACAGGATTCAGTTCCACAAGGCTGAAGTGCTTTTACTGGCAGATCTGGGAGGAAGTGGAGCTGTGAATAGCAATCCCTCCCTTTTTTTTTCCTTTTAAAAATAAGACTCATGATGGAGCTTAATACAACTCAGTCCCACTATTTGGGGCTAGAACTTGAGAGCTGAGGGTTTATTTGAAAGGAAATATTTGCAAAATTAAAATTTTAATGACTGTCATCTTGAGGAACTGAATTTAGAAACCCAATTCCAATGATTCTCCTGTAAACATATGGATTAGGGGTTTGTTAGAAGCCAATTAGAACACAAGGGTTTTCATAGCACACAATTATTTAAATGCAAAGATTTAAATTGCTCTGATTATTTGAAAATGGAGCTTTCTGAGAACCTGCTTCACTGTTCAGATCTTGCAGTTATTTTATATAAACTACAAGTTTAGTTAAACTGTGGCAAGGGCAAGAAAGAAAGTGAATTTTTGGGGAAGATGGGGATTTCACAGCATCCTGCTCCAGTGTGTGTTTTTTATTTTAATGTGACATTCCCTAGAGATCCCCTGTTCTGCCATGATATGTGCATTTCTCCTGATGCAGACAGCTGCCAGTGGCAGAGAAGTGCCACTGAGATCCATCACTGGTGGCAAGATGTGCTAAAGCATTTGGTGACAGGGGAGAACGTGTAACTGGTGACACTTCTAAGCCAGCCTGTCCCACTCTGGCAGAACTGAGGCACTGGGGTTATTTTACAGTTCTAAAGGTGTCTGCACCAGATCTGACTATTCTCTCCCAAAAGCTGCCAAATTATAAGGGGGGTTGAGCTGCTCTGTTTTCTGTCCCCACCAGAGATGTCCTGGCAGCTCTTGAACTGGTTTGGGGAATGTTAGAGCAACTGGCTTCTTTTCTGCTTCTGCCTTGCAGTTGCTCTGTTCTTTCTGCTCATCCTCAGTGTTTCTGTGTTTCCCTCAGGTGGCTTAATTTCCTCTGTGCATGTATGTCTGTGAAAATTGGAAATTCCCTTGCTATTTCTATACCACCATGTATGTAAAAATGTTAAAAATGGCTTTCCTAGTTCTGCTTTCCTGTGCCTGTCTCTGAATTCCCTTAGGTAAATGCAGTTGGGGCAGGTTTAGTGTCTCTGATAGCAGAAACAGGGTGTTTATTCTACCCTAAGCAGGGTTTTAATGAGCCTCTGACTAATGAAACTGCAGTAATTGTAATGCAACAGCTGAAAGAACTGTCTGGGAGGTGGGGAAGTACAGCTGAGTAACAGCTTTGTCCAGTACCTTTTCTGGGAGATTTAAACAAAACAAAAAAAAAAGGACTTGCAAAACAGCCTCTCTGAATTTTGTTGTGATTTTCTCTTTCTTTTCTCTTCTGCTCTGTGAATTTGCCAGTTGAATGCCATGGCCAACAGAGCTGCTGGGAAGGGCTATGAGAATGAAGATAATTATGAAAACATTCGTTTTAAATTCATTGGCATAGAGAACATCCATGTGATGAGGAGCAGCCTGCAGAAACTGCTGGAAGGTGGGTACAGCCCTGGGAGGGGTTTGTCTTTCTTACCCCTCTGGACAGAACTTCCTGCCAAATACCCAAATGTTCCATGCACAAACGTGTCCTGATGGAAGCAATGTCAGCATCTTGCTTTGTTTGCTGCATTCAGGTGACTGAAAATATTAATGCTGTCAAAATGCTTTCCTGCTTGACATTTTCTCTGTACTTGTGCTTGGTTTTATAGTGGTTCAAAAATAGCAACTAATACTAAAAGCATTCCTTGATCAATGTGCCAAATTAATAGAAAAAGGTTACAGAATATTACATTTTACAGCTAAGACAATCTCATTGTTGCTTCATGACTTATTGAAGGAAGACCAACAGAGGTTGTTCAGAAGTGCTTTTTGCTATATTTGGAGTATTAGCAGTATTTCTGAGTTGAAATGCATGATCTTCCAAAGACTTGAGTCTCATACATACTTTGTTCTAACTTTTCATTCATTTCTGATTCCTTTTAACCAAACTCCTTTAAAATGTATTAAATTAATGTTTTAATATCTAAATATATAAAAATGCAAAGTAGATAAGCTCATTGTGATCATAGGGAGGAATGCAAAGCAGGGCAAAAGAGTCACCTGAGATTGGGGATCAAGAGGGTAATGAGGCCCAGAGTTTCATTGATAGAATTTTGGACAATTTTGCAATTCAAGTGCTGTACTCCAAAATAGGAGTTTAATATTTTAGTAACTGCCACAATACTCATATTTTTTTTAAAACAGTTGGGTTGTTGGTGCTCCCAGGTGGCCCTGCAGGATCCATGGTGACCTTGGACACAAATGGGGCTGTTCCCACCCACAAGAGTGGCCTGATCACAGCTCTGAGTCCTCAGTTGCCTCTTCCTGGCAGATTTATTTCATGGTGGGAGAAGAGGCAGAATAAAAACTTGTTTGCTCCCATGTTCTTCTCCAACAGTGATAAAATCTCATTCACTGGGGCTTGTGGACTGTTCTGAACTTTATTACTCCGAGTGTTTTCTGTGCTGGATTTCATTAGAGCAGCTGAGTTGCCTTCAAGGTTAGATTTGTTATTTCTGTCTCTAAATTAGAGAGAAATAACTTCAAATCTCTGGGAAGTGAGTGAGTGGTTGTAGATGTGATGGTGATGTAAAGTTCCAGCTCACTGCTGGAAAAACCAGCTGAATAAATAATGAGTTACCCTTTAAACAAAGAGCGAGAGGAGATTTCCAGAGCCTGAAATTCTCACAAAGCCAGCAATTTTTAGTTATGAAATTTAGATACACAACCATTAGTGTGTCCTTTAGACAGGATATTGCTGCAAGCACTTCAAATTGTCAGGGGGATAACGAGGAGGTGCAGGGGATGCTGTTCTGACTCTGTGTGTGCTCCAGTGTGTGAGATGAAGTCTCCCTCCATGAGCGATTTCCTGACGGGGCTGGAGAACTCGGGCTGGTTACGGCACATCAAGGCTGTCATGGATGCAGGTGTCTTCCTGGCCAAGGTAAAGCTGCTCTCCAGCTGCATTCCAAAATGTCCCCTGCTGTGCTGGGGACTGCTGCAGGGTTGGGAAGGTGGCTCTGAGGAGAAGGTGTTGTTCAGGTTCGTTTAAACTCTCCAAAAATGTTGGGTTGTGCAGCTGCTGGGCAAACACAGGTCCTGTGTTGTGTGTTGTACCAGGGCTTTATTAGAGCTCATGTGAAACATAAGATCACAAAATGTGAATAAATTACCTTTATAAACCTTTCTATATAGCAGTGCAAACAACTCCTAACCCTGTGCTCATTATTCATCCACTGCTCTGCTTGAATTGAGGGGTTATTTTGACTGGTTTATTTTCTCCTGGTTTGCTGTGATGTGGACACTAATTTTGATTATTCAACAGAGCCCTCTTTTCTGCAGAGCTGGTGGCTTTGCAGGTCAGGCAGAAGGAAGTAAGTCACTCAGGAGTAGTACAGGGTGTGCAGGAAGTGTGTGGTGAGAGGAGTGAGTAGTAAACATTGGTTGTCTCTCACAATTTGCCCACATCACGAGCAGGAAACTTTTGTTTCTCTCCTGCCCTAAGTGGCAAAAGGTGATGGGATAGGGGGAAGTTTGCATCAACTCTCCTAATTTATCTTGAAGTTCTAATCCCTGGGTGTCCAGCTGTTTTTTACTCATCCACCAAATTTTTAGCTCAGAGGAAGAGCCTGAGAATCCTTGGTCTTCCAGAGATCACATTCTCTCCTGCCCTAAGTGGAAAAAGGTGATGGGATAGGGGACAGTTTGCATCAACTCTCCTAATTTATCTTGAAGTTCTAATCCCTGGGTGTCCAGCTGTTTTTTACTCATCTACCAAATTTTTTCCTCAGAGGAAGAGCTGGGAATCCTTGGTCTTCCAGAGATCACGGGGCTGTTTTTTACCAGCCTGCTGCAGCACTTTGCTCTAGCTGGGGCTTCTCTTGATGGAATGTGCATTTCCACAGGCCAGAGGGGAGATGGCCACCACTCCCCCGGGGTTTTGGGGTGGTGCAGGGCAGGGCCAGCCTTTCCCTGAGCTCTGTGCTGTGTCCTGGCAGGCTGTGAAGGAGGAGAGGGCCAGCGTGCTGGTGCACTGCTCCGACGGCTGGGACCGCACGGCCCAGGTCTGCTCCCTGGCCAGCCTCCTGCTGGACCCCTTCTACAGGACCTTCAAAGGCTTCATGGTAAGGACATGCTGCAGTTCCAGGGCCAGCGGGCCCTGGGGAAGGGCTCAGGCCATTTCCTGGGACAAGTGTGGGTGACCTACATAAAGCAGCTTTGGTTCTGTAAGGAGCTGGAATTGCTGTGAGCAGCAGGGCAGCAGCTGATTGACAATTCCCAAATCCTTGTTTCCTGCAATGTCTACATGGGAGCCACTAATGAGAGATCTCAGCAAAGGATGCAGCTCTGGCAGCAATCCACCAAAAAGCGCTGGAGGAGTTTGTCCTGTGTGTCTCTTACCTGCTGGGATTTGAAATTGGCTGAACTCAGCCCTGTCCCCTGTTCATCAGTAAAATCTGCATAATTTCAGACTTTTTAAAAAGCCATTTCATTTTAATTAGGCTGTTTGCTTCTAGTGCAGGCTTTTTCTTAATTTGCAGCCATCCCTGCATGAATTCAGGGCAGTCTGTGATGTTTCTTTCCATTCATCTCTGGTTAAATACCTGAAGAGCTGCTCTGTCTCAGGAGAGCTCCTTGAAGGAATCTCTGAAATCAGAACAATGCAGATTTTGCCTTTTCCAGTGCCAGCACTGTTTCTTTGCATTCCATGCTGGTTTTATTGTTTCTATTTTTGTTTCTGGATTATACTGCAGTCTTTTAACAGTTAAAATTCCATGAGCACATTAAACATCTGCCTGGGCTTTGTCTCTGAACAATCCTGCATGAACTGAGAACAGGATTTCACTCAGGAGCAGGAGCAGTGGCAGACACATCCCTGTCTGTCCTCATGGTTTGTAGGCACAAGTCCCCTGACATGGGCTTATTCCTAAATGAATTCATCAGCAGTCCAGGAATGGAAAAATGCAGAAAGCCATTTAAATGAAGTTTTCTAAGAACTCTGTTGTGAGTTTCTGCCTTCCTCCTCTTAATCTGGATGATGATAGCAGGAATTATCTTTAGATGTGATCCAGCAAAGTAATGATGGATGCAGCTTCAGTCATGTGGTTCCTTGTGAGACATCTCTAAACCAGATTATTTTATCTTATTTATCAGTGAGGAAAACAGATTATAACAGTTACTATTTTCTGTAACTACAGGCATCTATTTTAAAAATGCCACATAGTTGTTCTGACTTCATCCTGAACTCCTCATTACACAGCTGTACTTCATAGATTTATTTTTGTCTGTTAAATATTTGTTGAACTTCAGTTGCTGATTTATTTTGCTGAATATTACAACCCTTTTTTCCAAATTAAATAGCACAGTGTAATATTAAGCTGTTAATTCTTTGAGCTCAATATATTTATATATTATGATTTTAACAACTTAGAAACTCCCTCAAAATGGTAGGTTTGAAATGAGTTCTGATTCCAGCAGGGCCATTGCCTTGGTAACTGGATAATCTGTAAATCACAATTCCTGTTCCCATTGATTTCTGGGGATATGTTCATAGCAATAGGGGCAGCAGGTTGTCAGCTTTTTAGGCTTTAACATCAAAGGTTTCATTTTGCTTTTTTAACCAAATTAATGCTCTTTTCTTAATCCCTGCTTTGAACCTGCAGGTCCTGATAGAAAAGGAGTGGATTGCAATGGGCCACAAGTTCTCACACAGGTGAGAGGGGCACATTCCCCTGGGGGGAGTGAAACCAAAACTGTCTGCAGGGTTAGGGGATCCCATGAAAAATTGAAATTAAAAGGAGAAAACATTGGGAAAATATTGGTATTGGTGACACAGAGCCAGGGTCTTCTAAGGCTGTTATTTCATCACTGTGTTCTTATTACTTTACAAAATCATGGCTTCAATTCTGGGTGTTTTCCTACCTGCAAAATTCTGTTATTTGAGGAGTGCTAATTGTGGAATCACAGAATCATGAAGGCTGGAAAAGACTTCCAAGATCATGAAGTTCAGCCAGCAGCAGCACTAACCCTTGTCCCCAGGTGCCACATCCACACATCTCTGGAGCACTTCTAGGGATGGTGACCCCACTCTGTCCCATCCACAGTGCTCCAGCCAGACCTGGAATTCTCCTGCAGCCATGCCTGGGAGAGGATCTCTGCCACTTTCTCAGGACTGTCCCAAAATCAAAGCATAAACCTGACCTGGAAGAAAACTGATGGCAAGGGGACGTTTTGTGGTGGGTGACAGAAGATTTATTCTGCTTTTTGCACCTGTGTAGGTGTGGCCACCTGGATGGGGACCCCAAGGAGGTGTCCCCTGTGTTCACACAGTTTGTGGAGTGTGTGTGGCAGCTGATGCAGCAGTTCCCCTGCTCCTTCGAGTTCAGCGAGCGCTTCCTGCTGGAGATCCATGACCACGTCTATTCCTGCCAGTTTGGCAACTTCCTGGGCACCTGCCACAGGGAGAGGGAGGAGCTCAGGTGAGCTGGGGCTCCTGGAGCCTGCAGGCCACAGATCCTGGGAATGCCTGGAACAGGGTGTGTTTTATGGAATTGGAGACTCTGGAATGTAACCATCAAGGCAGTGTTACCCCTAATCAGTGTGAGAAAAGAATATGAATTATATCCCAAAAAAGGTGGTTTTGGAGCACAGCAATAACTTGCAGATATCCCTTCTGGACAGGAGAGTGTCCATTTTAATATCCTGTGCTTATGAAATCAATCAGATCCAGCATAAAAACAATTCTTAGCTCCCTTAATCTAATTCTGCTCCCAACAGCTGCAGTTATTAATCCACTTGCTGCTTTTTTTTAGTGATCAGATGTTCTTTGTACTTGGCAGAATCTTTGAGAAGACCCATTCCCTGTGGCCTTTCCTCTTACAGAGGAAGCAGGAGTTGAGAAATCCTTTGTACAGAGGATTCACAGCTTACAAAGAGCTTCAACCAAACACTCTACCTTTCAGTTTCCAGTAAGTGGCTCATCTGAGAAGGGGAAGGAGGGGCACATTTCTGTCATTAATAACTCATGTTAAATCAAATAAATTTGCACTGATTAACTTGGTTTGTTTTGCCTTTCCCCTCTGTTCCTCAGGCATAAACTAAGAGGAGCAGTGCAAAGGTGAAATGAATTCATGTAATTAAAAATAATATTTCTAATTTGGTGTTGAGAAAAGAGGGTGGAGAAAGGCAAGGAAAAGCAGAACTTCAGAGACCCACACACACTCCCTGGCTGCTTGCTCTGTCACACTGAAGTGTTTGAAACAGTTCCTCTTTTCCTCCTTTTAATGTATATTAAGGAAGTCTTTCAAGCAAGAATTTTGGTGCTCAGTTCAGGGTTTTTCTCAGGCTTTGTTTCTGCATCACTCCTGGGCCCTGCTGAGAGAGAGGGGGATGAAAATGAGATTGTAAGTGCTGTGTGTGCAAATGGAAGTTGGGAGGTTGGGCTGGTACCTTGGGAAGGCTGCCCTAGAACAGAGGCTGGACAGAGCTAAAGAATAAAGCAGGGATTTATTAAAAGGATCTCCTCCATGGATCCACATTGGGCAGCACAAGAGCCCAGCCAGGGCTGCACCCAAGGTGAACCAAAATGGGCACAAAATGCACAACTGCTCATGGCATCTGTCACTTTCATAAGTTCTGCTCCATTTACAGATTGCAGTTCATTGTCCAATTCCAGCTCCAGCCCCTGCAGTCCTATCCTTGTTTTTCTCTCTCCAGCCCACATTGTTTGTGCTCCTGGGCCTGAATTTGGATCATTTGTCCTTGGTCCCCAGCTAGAGCAGGAATTGTTTTGTCTCCCTGCTCTGTGCAGAGCTCACCATCCCCTAATGTGAAGCCCAGACCCACACACTAAAGCAGCTCAGAATCTGAAAAATAGAAAAGCTGAAACCTGAGGCATCAGGGCAAACTAAGGAGTGGAAGATAAGCTGCCCAAGCTTCCAATAAATCTGCTATTAAAAAAAAAAAAGTATCTTCATCCTATTCTAATATTTACTGCCAGATTTTTTAACCTGAAGAAAAGTTGAATTTATGTTGAATTCAATAATCCAAGGCTGTGGCAGGTTTTCAAATTAATTCCTAATCTCAGTTTGTTAAAAATATTACCCAGCATCTCTTTGTTGGGAACAATGTCCAGCTGAGCCCCTAATTGCTGTTTTTTGCCTGGTATTGAGGTTCTGGTGTGGGATGTACAACCGCTTTGACAAGGGCATGCACCCCAAGCAGTGTGTGCTGGACCAGCTGCTGAGCTGCCTGAGCCAGAGGCTGACCCTGGAGGAGAACACAGCCGAGCTGGAGAACGTGAGCCACGGGGCTGCAAGGGTTAACTGGGAGGGGTGTCGGGGGAATATTGGAATAGAAATTAATATTGGCCATTAAATACAGAAACTGGACGTGTATTATATAGAAATATATATTACATGAATGTATAATATATGATATAAAACTATATATAAATATATAAATATATAAATATATAAATATATAAATATATAAATATAGGCCATTAAATATAGAAATTGGACATGTATTATATATAAATATATATGATATGAATGTGTTATAAAATATATAAATATATGGTATAAATTATACATATATATAATATATAAATAGATAAATATTGGCCTTTAAATGTAGAAATTGGACATGTATTATATAAATATATTGTAAAAAATCACATATATATAGTATTAATAGATATTGGCCATTAAATAGATAAATTATACATTATAAAGATACTATATAAATACATATAATATGCATATATAAAATATAATTATATATTATAAATTTATACTTGTATATAAATATTGGCCATTAAATATATAAATCATACATATATATTATATAAATATATAAATTTTGGCCATTACATATATAAATGGTACAGTATAGAGATATTATATAAATATATATAATATAGATATATTAAATATATATTCTGAAGTGATACATATGCAAAATATATAGATATTGGCCATTAAATATATAAATTATACTTTATACGTATATATTATATACATATATTGTATAAAATTATGCATATATATAATATAAATATTGGCTATTAAATATTTGCATTTATTTCCCCTTTCCCCATCATATACAATCAAATCAGATGAATATACTGACAATGCATGTGGATTTATTCAAGAAGTCTTAAAATAATGTAAGCAAAGATACCTCTTCACATCTCTGCTAGGAAGAAGAATCCTGTTAAAATCTTAGTTTAAAAATATGAGTGGAGTTGTTTTGTTGGGGATATTTTTGCCATTCTCTGTTGTAGGGCCAGGATCCAAGTCAGCCCTTCATTTCAGAGTAAATGCCAGCCTTACTTTACTCCAGACATGGATACTCTGTGTCCCTTGTGTGTGATTAAAAGCCATCACAGTAACTGATGTTGGTGGTATTTCAAGGTACTGGAGCTGTGTTTTGTCCCTGTTCTCCAGAATCATTGCAGCTGCTGACACCCAGCCAGTCTGAATGACAGATGAATCAGCCACTGGGTGAAAATGAGGGGTTCACTGACAAACCTCTGTGTGTTAAAAACCTCCAACCACCCCCAAACACATCAAAACACAGTTTTTAAAACACCCCAGTGAGAAGAACATCAAACATCAGTGTCCTTTGCTGGGGTGATGTGATGCTGAAAGCTTCAGCTTTATTCAGCTTTATTGCTTAAACACTGGTGTTTGTGTCAGACATGGCAGGATCTTTGGCCAGGTATTTCTTATGTTTGTGTCAGGCGTTTGAGGATTTGTGTCCAGCCACTTCAGAGCTGGAAAAGAGGCACTGCCACAGGGCTGTTGTGTTGACACCTGGTTTTTGTTTCCCTCTGGCATCTAGGTATTAATTATTTGTTTTTATGCCTTTTTATTTGTGCAGAAACTCCCTGTCCTCGACAGCCCCTTGCCCAGCAAAGGCTGCACCTCACCCAAGGCAGGAGCTGCTGCTGCCAGAGCCCCAACTCCTCCTCAGGACTGTGCAGAGGGAGCAGCCCCAGTGCTGAGCAATGGCCCCTCCCTGGGCCACCAGAAGCACAAGGAGAGCCCAGGCCAGCCCCGGGATCTCGGAGCCTCCGGGGAGGATGGGCAGGCCCAGCAGCAGGGATGAGCTCTGGCAGCTGCTGGGAGAAGCTCTGGGGAGCTGCTGCAGCCCCCCTTTGCAGCTGAGTGTGAGTAGGGGTGTGCAGGGCTGGGGGAGCAGCTGCTGGGGGCACCTCCTGCAGCTCAGGTGGTGCAGAGCTGCCAGGAGCCTGCCTGGCATTCCTGGGAACTTGGCTTTCAGTGGCAACACGTGCATTTCTGAGGGTTAGGGCTGCCTGCCAGCTCTGCTGTTTGATGCTGGAAGAAACCTTGCCAGTTCCATGAGGAGCTGGGCAGTAACTGCAGGAGGAAGGATGCAAATCCCTCTGTTCTCAGTGGTGGTCCAAGGTCATCTTAAAACAAGAAAAAATTTCAGTCCGTCTTCAAATGCTAAAAACTCCCCCAACCTTTCTTAGCTGTGAATGAATCTCTGCATGGACCCTTGCCTTGTAGCAGAACTGATTCATGTTTTGTTTCCTATGCATATTTGTTACACAAAACCAAACCCCCTGTGCCTTCTCTGGGACTGTGTCTGTGTCCAGCCAGGCCGCTGCAGGTTTGTGCTGGAGTTTGCAGGGTGCTCTTGGTCCTGTCTGTAGTCAGTGTTTGTGAGAGGTTTTCCTCTGCTGCAGCTTCTCCAGGGTTTTTGCTGTTCCCCTGAGTTCAGCTTTTTCCAAGCTGACCTCTTGAAGAGTCAGCTTTTATGGACCTCCTTTATGGATGGGAGTGCAGAGCCAGCCCATAACACATGGATTTGTGATAAGAGGGAGGATTGGAAATGAAGAAAGACAGCAGAACATTTATGTGGAATTTTTCTCTCTTATTTTATGATCTTGGTTAAACTGAAGCAAAAGAGTAACTGTTCCAAGCTGGAATCATTGATGAGACTGCAGTTGCAGATGGGGCTGTGTTCTGGTACTGAAATGGGGCCTGAAATGATAAAATCACTTGCTGAGTGATTCTAGGGAATGTTCAGATTCCAGGAACTTTAGGGATGTTTTGTCTGTCTCGTGAACAGTATCTGTCATGGCAATGAACTTGGGAAGAAACAGAAGAAACAAGGACTTCTCTCCCAGGGATTGGGTGTCACAAATGAGTGCTTGAAGGTCACCCAAAAATCGTTGGGAGGGGCATCAGCAAAAGCAGGTTTGATAGAAAAAAGTGTGACCAAATTAATTTGCAAGGTTCATTGTTACTTATTAAATGGTTAAAGCACACAGATTAAAAGTAAAATAGAAAATCAAGCAATCTCAAAGTAAAATCAAGCAGTGTGGAGGCTGGGGATGGAAAAGGGTCAGGATGAAAGGGAGTGAGGGACATTCTCCTGTTGAGTCACAGGGTTCAGAGTGGAGCAGCCTCCCCGACTGAGCCCTGGAATTATCAACAGTTCAGGCCTAAAGGTTTCCTGGAATCAGAGAATCAGTAGCAGCACTTGAACTCAACAGCAGAGAATCAGCAGGTAAGGAATTGAACAAGGGGTTTGTGTAGAATTCCCTGTAAGCACAACAGGAGCTCCCTTAGAGGCTGAACTCACAAATCCAAAGTACTCCATAATCCAGGAGAGCAGCATTCCCAAGGACCAGGTCCAGGTGTATCCCTGGGAAAAATTCCCCCCAAGTTTTCCCTGTTTATAGAGAGTCACTTTTATCAGAGTCACTTTCCAGCCTGGCTGCAATTTGGGTCAATATCTTCCTTTGAAAGCTCAATAACAAAAATGTTCCACTTGGCTTGTTCTTCTGGCAAGAAAAATCAGATTGCAGGCTGAACCCAGGAGTTTGTACTCCAGCCCTGGGAGCAGCCAGTGTTCCTGATAAGCTCAAGGTGCTGCTTATCAAGGTCAAGGCCTGAGGACATTTCTGAGATCGTGGTGAGGCCTTGGGGGCTTGGGGGATTCCCCTCCCCAGGCAAGCTGTGCCACTGTCCTTGTTCTGTGCTGAATTGCACAGAATCCCCCTGTGCAGCTTTGTTCAGGATGCTGCTCTGCTCTCTTCTCAAGCTGTTGTTTCAATTAGATGCTGCCATTAAGTTTTCAAATCAGATTTTCTCTTTTATAAAAAGTTTGGAAGCCAACTGAAAATATTTGAGCTTTCCCAATCTGCAGAGACAGCAGAAACATTCCACTGCAACACCAGAAAGTGCAATAACTCTGCTCATGTGCTTTTAACCCGTGGTGAAATCACTGGTCCAGTGTCCAAAACTCAACCCAAACCTCCCTGAGTGGCTGCTCTGGGTAAGAAAATACCTATTTTATAAAGCACATGAAAGATCCAGAGAAGAAGAGAGCACAGAGTTTCTGCATTGCCTGGAATAGCAAAGAGGAAGTTTTTTAGTATTGAGGGTTTGTCAGACTTAAATGAAGTTTTTGTCAAGGAAGGAGTGGGAGCTATAAGAGTGATTGATTAAAAATGAAACACTGGAAATACTGACCCAGGTGTGACTGATGGATCAGCCCTGTCTTTTCTTTCCAGGGGATAATGGGCAACATCCATCCCCAAATCAGAGAAAATAGGACATGAAGCCAAGACAGGCACTTTTTAGGACCAGTTGTTCTATGGATCATCAGTTCTTTGGCTATCTTTAATAAATTCTCTAATTTTCATTAGAGATCCAAAACTGGAGAGGGTTTTGATTGACTACTGAAGGGCCTAAAGGTGCCATTGGTTAATTATTGTACAAATCCAGCTTGCAGAAGGCTCCTGGAAATATTTGTATGATGCTTTGCCTTTGGAATTGCCATTGGAGGAGTTGAATAACCTTTCCTTGTTCCTAAAAAGGTTGTCTCCACAAAGTGTACAACCACCACTAGTGTTGTAAGCTTGGAGTAATCTTGCTGCTTTTAACTCCAATGGCAAAACAGAGCCAAACCCAAAAATTAATGTTTTTTAAACCTCTTGCATTTCATGTGTGCAGGCTCAGGCAAAGGCTGCAGTGTATTGAGAGCCTTTCATGCTGATGCTGGAACTTAGGAGCTGGAAAAGATTCCAGGGTTTCCTCTTTTTCCATAAGCCCATGGTTTGAAAACCAATCAAGGAGAAACTTTTTGGTTTTGGTGGCAGCTCTGGGCTGTTTGCAGAGCAGAAGTGAGGAGCTGCTCAGAGCCCTGCAGTGTCCTGAGCTCAGCTGGGATCTGCTGCCCAGGAAAACTGAGTTCCCTGCCCCATGAACATCCTGTGCTGCCCAGGAAAGCTGTGTTCCCTGCCCCTGGAGCATCCTCTGCTCTGTTCCCTGGAGCATCCTGGAGCATCCTCTGCTCTGTTCCCTGCCCCTGGAGCATCCTCTGCTCCCTGGAAGTGTGGGAGGAATGGAGGAGCTGTTACTGCTATTGGGAATCTGCTGCTGCTGCTGGGGAAAGTTCCTACAACTGATTGATTCCTAGGGGAGCAGCCATGCTTTGTGAGGTCAGAAATCCTGCTTTTATTTGGAGCAGTGCAGTTCTTTCCATTTCAATTCCTGTCACTGAGAGCTGGGAGGGAAGAGGGGTCTGATTTGCTGCAGATGGGCTGTGCTTGGGTAAAACTCTCCCTTTTCTGGAGCTGCTCCTGCCTCTCCAGGACATTCCATGGTTTCTCCAGGACATTCCATGGCTTCCTGCCTTTTCCCAGTGTCTCCTGTGCTACAACCAGGTGTAACCTTGTAGTGGCCTGTCATACTCTGTGTTAAAATTCCTACTCTGAAGCACAAGAGGGACTCGTGGAGCTTCATTTGAAATGTCTTAAATGTGAACTTTGTTCTGTGGATTCTTAAATTGGGATTTTCTTTTGCTGTTGTCACCTGTGGGAGAGAAAATCCAATTGATGCTGTTTGCTCTGCAGGGAAAAAGTGGGAATCATTGGGTTGTCCATAGTTTTAGTTCTCCATGGCCTCTTCAGGGGTGAGGAAAAGCAGTTTGTAAAAGCTTTTAGGTCTCAGTCTGTTCTTGTGCTTAGTGATTGCCTTTCCAAGTTAATTCCTTGGAGTAACAATCCACCTGCTCTGATCCAGAGCCATCGTGGCTGGGATGGAGAAGGAGGTGGGCTTGGAGGGGGCTGGGAAGCTTCAGGAAGCTTCCCCAGTGCTGCAGAGTGGGATTTGGCAGGAGCTGAGGGTGCCCAGAGCAGCACAGGATCTCCAGGTGGGAATGTTGGTGTGGAGCAGCCCTGGGGTGTTGTCTCCATCGTTTCTGGGAGCAGAGAGCCCCCAGAGGTGCTCCCACCACTGAGGCAGCCCCAGGAAAAGCCTTGGAAAGGGAAGAGCTCCTGCTCCAGGCTCCTTCAGCTCCTTGCTGAGCTGGTCTTGGGCAGCCCCAGATCCCAGAGGAATTTGCTGCAGGATGCAGTGCTGGGTACCCAGGAGGGACCAGGAGCATTCCAGAGGGGTTTTCCTCTCCTCCCTCTCCTCTGCTCTGTGCTGAGGGCTGGGGGTGTTTTTAGAGGGAGCTCTCCCAGCTATTCCTGGTTTCCATCCTTCCCTCATGCACATCCAGGCATTCCCTGGGGGAAAACCTGCTCTGCATGTCCTATTTGTGTTTAATTATCACCCAGCACTTGATTAATTAGCTGAGGAAGCTGGGGATGGCAAAGCCTGTGCTTGGGACCAGGCAGCCAGCTGGGCCATTCGTTAGGGCAGGTTTGCTAATGACATTAATTAACGTGACCCCCTGGGAGCTGCAGGAGCAGGGCAGGACCAAGGGGTTGTTTTTAAATCATTTCTATATTCCCATCTATTGAATGTAGCAGAAACTACTGGAGTAACTCAGCACTGGATCCCACCCTCTGGCTGGATTTTCCTTGGCATCCCCAACCTGATCCTTGTAGGAATGTCCCCAAAACCCTGTGTAGTGCTGGCTGGGAATGTCCCTGTTGCTGTTTGTGTCTGTGTCACTGCTGAGGGACATCTGGGGGGATGAGCCCCAGATTGTGCCCCAGGGCTCTGTGGGGCTCTGCAGTTCTGCACTGCTTGAAGCTGATCTTGTCTAGAGGAGAATTGTGTCTTTTCTCTCTGTTTGTCCCATGGAGTCTCTCTTGGATTGCAGGTATTTTTATTCCCTACAAAAATAAACACTTGGTCTTTTTAAAGGAAGTGGCTGCTCTGTTTATTGGGTGGTAACCCAGAACCCCACACTTGGAAAGGTGGAGTCAGTTAAAGGGTCTTAATTAACAAAGGGGTCTTAATTAACAAAGTGAGTGTGGAGCCATTTCCCCTCCCCAGAACAGAAATGGGCTGATCCCCCTGGTTTGGGGAATGGGGAGTGCTAAAAACAACCCAAAAAGGAACATAACTGATGGAAAACAGGGAACACAACCAATGGCACGGTGTCTTCTGCAGCTTGTGCTATTCTGGTTTTGTTTTTTTTATTTAAATTTTCATTTCTATCTTAAAGCCAAGTGTCTCCTTAGTGTTCCTTGCTCCTGGAGAGCTGTCTGTCCCTCACTCACCTGGCCACAGGCGTCTCCAGGCTGGCTTCCACAGCTTTCTGAGGAGCAGCCAGAGCTTCTGGAAGGAGCTGACTCCCAGCTTCGTGGGTCCAGTGAAGACATGTTTTCTGATGGCTTCAGAGTGAGGAACCCACAGTCCAGCTGCTGATGGTATCCTGGAAAAATCCTCTTTTATCCCATTCTTTTTAGTCATGGGTAGTGAGGTGTTAAAGATGGAGTGCAGACAGAACTCAGCTGAGAAGGGTGGATGCTCAAGAGGGAGATTCCAGGTACAAAACTCCCCTGTAAACCTGGGAACAGACTCCAGACCCATCAGCCAGCCCCTGATGAATATTTTCCACCTCAAAAATGGGTATTTTCTATGTTTTAAGGGCCTGGCACTGGAGTACACTCAGTCCCTGGGTGTTTCTCAGGCTTTTCTCCTTCTTGCTAATTTTAAATGTTTTTAATGCTGCCAGTGAAATCCTTCATTTACCTTAATTAGACTCACTTTGCATTTAATTGGATTATTAGCATTAACACTGGCTAGAATTGATAAAGCTGCAATTTAATTTGGGAAAAATTTGGACAAAAGGTGTGGTAATGGGAGTTTCTTTGGGCTGCAAACAGCTCGTGGATTCCAGTGCTCTCCTGGAATCCTTCCTTTGGAGGAGTGGAGGGTGTGGGAGGGGGATACAAAACCTCTCTCTCAACAACAGGTCTTGGAGCTGTGGGAGAGAGGGAAGGGATCCAGTGTGAATGGGAATCAATAAAAATCTATAAATAACCAAAAACCCCCCCACGGATGGAGCAGGGGGCTCTGGGCTGGGCAGCTGGGGCTGCCCCTGGATCCCTGGCAGTGCCCAAGGCCAGGCTGGACAGGGCTTGGGGCAGCCTGGGACAGTGGGAGGTGTCCCTGCCAGGGCAGGGCTGGGATGGGATGGATTTTAAGGTTCCTCCCAACCCAAACCATCCTTTTATCCTGTTTTCCAAAAGGGAAAGTGCAGTGGAAATAAAGAGATGAACTCCTGGAGCTCCAGTGCTGCCAAAATTCCTCAAGGAGGAGAAGAAGCATTGCTGGATTCCTCCTTCCTTTTTAACTCTGTATTTTGTGTGTGGATGCACCAAATAAATTGGGAATTTCCACCAGCAGGGCCCTGGCAGGGATGTGCAGGGCAGCCAGGGGATGCTGGGCTGCTGCCCATGCTCCAACCTGGGTCACACCTGGGTAACACCAGGGGTAACATCTGGGTGACACTGGGGTAACACCTGGGTAACTCCTGGGTAATTCCTGGGTGACACCTGGGTGATTCCTGGGTAATTCTGGGGTCACACCTGGGTCACTCCTGGGTCCCGGTGCTGCTGGGGCCACTCCCCTGCTCCACGCTGAGCAGGCAGCCAGGAGAGGCCCAGGGCTGGGGTTTGGGATGCTGGGAGCAGAGCTGGGGGCACAGAGGGAGAGCCCAGAGCTGTGCTTGGCAGTGACTCCCAGCCCAAAGGCAGGAGACACAGCAGCCCCATCCCCAGCTCTGCTTTCCCAACCTTGAGCACTGTTAGTAAATCCCTAATCCCTGCAAAATCATTGATTTGGGACTGTTTAGCTCGAAACTTTTAACTGCTTAGCCCTGCTAAATCCACAAGCTCATTAGCTTTCTTCAGCTGCATTAATAACAATAATCTCTTTAATGGGAGCAACTCTGGACAGGATTTACCTTCCCAAAAACCCACTGACTGGCACTCGGCACCCTTCTGCCCTCTAATTCTTCCCCAGTTACCAGGGAGCTGCTCAAGAGCTGCTTTGCCTGAGCTCAGGCAGAAGGTGGAAGCTTTTCCCAGTCCTCGTCCTTCCCTGGAGTTTGGAGCAGTGGGAAGCTCATCCCAAATGGGCCGGGCTGCTCTGTCACCCCTGCCTGGGCTCCTGCTGGGGTCAGGCTGGCTCTGCTGCTGGGAATGTCCCCCAGGATGGATGGAAAGGTTCCTCCTGCTCCTGGAGTGTGCCTGGGTGGAATTCCAGCTGGGCTGGGGGCTCTCGGGTTTGTCTCTGGGTTTAATCTGCTCCTCGTTCCTAAGATCTCTCTTGGTTAACAACTAAACAGCAGCAGCAACAAAAGAACAAGCAGTTTATCATTAATTTGCCATTCAAGGATTTTCCTTTCATCTCCAGGTTCCCTACATTTTACATTTTCTAGCACTTCTGTTGTCTGCATTCCCTTTTTTTCCTTTGTAACACTCTGTCTTTTTAACGGCTGCTTTGATTTCTGTGGTGTGTGGAAGGGGTTTCCAGCCAGGCTTGGCTTTTGTGGCTGCAGCATCCCCGTTGTGGTTGCATCTTCCTGGCACTCAGGAAAAATAACCCCAGACTCCCTCTCCTGCTCCAGGGTTCAGCCACATCACACTCCATAATTCCATTCCTGCTGCTGGCTTTGGGGAACTGACCTTTGTGAAGCAATAACCTATTTTGGAGTGAATTTAGAGCAGGAAACCAAAAGCCTGAACCAAACCAATGTTGACCATTTTCCTGCTTTCCAGGGGGAGGCTCCAGAGCAGGAATGTGGTGGTGGCAGAGATCACACACTTCACAGAGCACCCTGATTTCACTCCTTGCAGCAGTGGGGATTTTCCTGCTGGCTCATTTGGGTCTCTCTCGTTATCTCATGCCTTGATAAGGCTGCCCCAAACCCCCAGCCTGTTCCTGCTCCACTGCTGAGGAGTTTGGAGAGGGTTTAAAGGGAGCTGGATAAAATAGGATTGCACTTCCCAGCTGACAGGTTTTGATAAGAGCCCCAGTGCTGCTCCCCACTCCTTTTGTTTGCCCTGGAAGCTTTCCTGCCTTCCTGGGTCCTGTTCAGCCTCAGGAACCCTGGCTGTGGTTCCTTCTGGCAGGTGCAGCCCAGAGCAGCTCAGGTGGGAAATCTGAACCATCTTCAGGACCTTTTGTCGTCCTGGTGTCTAATAAATAATTTTGGGGGTTAGAAATGGCCATTTGTATCCCTCTGCAGAGGGGGAGGGAGGGCAGGAGGAGGGTTGAGAGGGAATTGGAGTGCCTGGCAGCAGCCAAGGTGAGGTAGAGGCTGGTGCTGCCTTGGCAGGGACCCCAAAGCGCCCCATTCCCTGTGATTTCTGTGGGGAAACAGCAGAGAAAAGCTTTGTGTGTGCTCAGAGGGGTCGAGCAGCCTCCAGCACCTGTCCCAGCCTCCCCCCACCACGCTGCCCTCTCTATATTTACCCAGGGGGAGCTTTCCAAGAATGGAAGTGGTAAGATAAAACCCCAGAGGGGCTAAAATTAGCCCCGGGCCGGTCCCACCGTGGCATTTCAGCTGTGAGCTGCACAGCCCTGGCCCCACACAGCCCCATCCTCCCAGCCCTGCCAGAGCCTCTCCTGCTCTGCCCATTTGGGCTTAAACCCTCCAGGACTCCCCATGGCACCCCCCTGGCCCCAGGGGCTCTGAGCATCCCCCACGCCCAGGTAAGGCAGCACTGGGCCCTGCTAGGGTCAGGGGGGGACTGGGACCCAGAGGGACAAATGTGTGCTCTGTGTGCTCTGCCACAACCTCTTTTGGGGGTCTGAGGTGCTTGCACAGCTTCTGCCAGCTCAGGGGGTGACAGAACAGGGAGGGTGGGCAGCCCTGGATCCCTGGCAGTGCCCAAGGCCAGGCTGGACAGGGCTGGGAGCAGCCTGGGACAGGGGAAGGTGTCCCTGCCATGGCAGGGGTGGGATGAGATGAACTTTTAAGTTCCTTTCAAAACCAAACCATTTGTGATTCCACGAATCCTGGTTTGGGCTCTCCTGGTTGAGGAGCCTCCCTCAGCTCCCCACAGACGATCTCAGGCAGCCCAAGGAGCCTCCCTTTGGAGGTGCTGTTTGTGTGCTCAGGAAATGTTACAGCTGCTCTTTTCCACACCATTTCCCTTGGGAATCTAACTGGGAACACAACTGTGTTTTTGACTCAAACCTGCAGTAACCCCCAGCCCATTCTCCGTGAGGGTGGGGTGATCCCAAAACAGAGCTCATCACCGGCGTGTCCAATGCAGAGCAGCAGTGCTGGAATTTCCCACATTTCTGTATAAATTGGGCTAAGAGGTGGCAGCCCAGCAGAGCTGTGCTGCTGCTGCCATCAGCCTTGTCCCAGTGTCCCCAGCCGTGCTGGTGGCCTTGCTGGGGTCCCCCTGAGCTGGTGGCCATGTCCCCGTGGGTGATGTGGGACAGGTCCCCGTGACTGCCCCGGCACCAACGGGCTCAGGTGCACATTGAGGCCAATTGCTCCTTCTGCTTATGAGATAATTAACTGTTTGCTGCAGCTCCCTCCCTAATTAATTGCCCCGTGCAGCTCCTTGGCCCCTCCCAGGACAGGTCAGCCCCGGCTCTGCCTCCGCTGCCTGTCCCGAGCTGCCCCAGGGTTGCCAAGACATTCCTCTGCCCATCCCGAGCACTTCCAGCTCTCAGGTGCCAGCTGGGACATCCCATTCCTGTCCCCTGCTGTCCCTCGGCTCCTGAAGCCACAGCCCGTGGCAAGAGCCCAGCGGAGCTGCCAGGGTCCAGTGCCACTGGCTGTGATCAGCTCAGCACTTCCACCCTTCCTCCCCCAAATCCCTCAGCAGAAACATCCCAGACCCTTCTGCAGTGATCATCGGGCTCCAGCAGGCAGGAGGGAGGAAAACAGTGGGATTCTAACG